GTTTTTGCTATAAAATTGGGTTTGAATACACTTACAGTACATTGTCAAATATCGGAATACCGAGATGTGAATTGAAATTAAAAATTGAAAATTCATTTTAATTGCATTTTTAAAAGTAAATTATGAAAGATCAATATCAAATCTCTTTATTATAATTCAAATTTTAATCAAAAATCTATTATTGCTTTCACAAATTACGTTCAAAAAATTCGGCATTTTTATCACTTTTTCACGTCAAAGGTTAAACTATGTCATTTTTAGACAAGCAAAGGTAAAATGCTTTTTTTATATGAAAAAATTACCAATTTGGAAAAAAAATATGTCTGCGAATTGTAGATAGTTTAATTTAGTTATTGAACAGAAATATTGGAAATATAAAGAAAAACAATTATATTAATTTTAAATATATTAATTATATTAATTTAAAATTAAATATGCAGCAAAAATAATTTCAACTTCGATATTTTGTATTGTTTACTGCAATGTAAAGAATGCCGTCATGAGCTGTCAAAACTTAAAGTTGTTCAGGTTTCTCAGTGAAAATTCATGAAATATATCGAGATTTGGGAGCCGAGAATTGGACGACGAATATTCGACATTTGGATTTTTCGATGTTACGACGGAAAAATGGAAAAATAATATATATTTGGAAATTTCTTTTTTGACAAGTGTGAAATGAAGCACAAATAAATTCTGCATAGAATTGTGTATAGAATGATATTTTTAGATGAAAGCAAAAGTGTTGAATATCAAATTGAAGTTGAAAGTTCAAACAAATAGTCCGACATTTGGGCGTGCGTGTCCATACACAGAAAAAGTATTCAAAATGGTCAAAATGACCAAAAATGTCAACGTGTGGTAAGTGTATTCAAACCTAATTTTATAGCAGAGAAAGCGTCAGATTCGGTCTTTTCATGCCAAAAAATCCCCAAATACTCATTTTCAGAGCGTTTGGATGGATACCAATTTTACTTCAAAATTTTTACTTATTGGTGTGTTTTAGACACACAAACGGGCGTCTTGCAATAGGTTAAAAAACCTGAGCTACGAGAAACTATAGATTTTGTTGGATAGCAGACATAGTATACTCCCCGTATAAATCCAATAATCCAATACTTCAAAATGTGACTTCAGGGGGGGAATCACCAAATCAATTTAAATAAAACGAATTATGTGGCTTAACAATACATGAACCGTACTACAACGCCTGATAGGTCACCCCTCTGGGATATTGCATGAATTCAAAATGTTACTAGAATTTTGGTTTTCCGGAAAACTCTCTGGGAAAATTGTGGAAAAACGAGCGATGCCATTGAAATCAGCATACCCAAATTATGTAAAACCGGCTGGTCTCGTTTCTGTCACATTTTGAGTGACGCACAGTGTTTTTGTCCATCAACCAAAGTCGCTCAAAATCTAATGATTTATATTCCTCCCAACCCCTTCTTTTTCTTTTTCCTCAGTATAAAAACACCTTCTCACAATCACATCATTATTATTATAATAAACCAGAAGTTTTTGAAAATTAAAACAATTTAGAAAAAAATGAAGCACTGTTCTCTTAAGTTTTTCCGATTTTTAATCAAAATTGTAAATTTAATGTAGTAAACAATAAACATTAAGTCCATTATTTTTTTCAAAAACTCAACTCTATAAAAAAAATATAGTAACATTTTTGTGATATAATAAGAAATTTAAAAAAAAAACAGATTAATAAAAGCTTGCATTTGATAAAATCATATCCGTTTATTTTATTTAATCGTATTCGTATTTAGTATTATTTACTGAGCTATAAAAAATCTGTGAATTAAACGAATTTTTCGTTTGTAAATGGAAAAGAACTTTCATTTTTGAATCTGCTGTAAGAACTTCTTCCTTTCGAATAAGAGGTCAAATATTTAAAAACAAGTGTAATTGTAATAAATCATTTAAAGCATTGATGCAGTCATTCAGTTTTTTTGTTATTATTCAATATTATGTTAAGGTTTAATTAAAAATAATTTGAATTTACATCTATATTCATATACATCAAGCTCTATTGCCTTGACAGTGGCAACTTATTACGGTTTTGTTTGTGATTATTAAAATAAAATGCTCGTACATACAAAGAAATGCTATGTGCGGAAATTCGATATTTACTAGCATTTTTTTTGTTTGCGATTCGTTTATGTAAAGTCTGCTATTTGTTATTATTTTCGGTACAGTTTTTAAATTATTGTCTTTAATACTATATATTTCCCCATTATATATCCACACATATATGTTTATTCTAACACAATCAGAATCAATAGTCAACTACATATTCGTATTGAAATCATCACCGTGAAACACATTGGTGTGACTGTACGTTTCTCTCATGTATACACATTCATGTTGAAATGGAGTGAACGTTTGTATATTGTATGATAGCATTCTTGTCTACATTTGTGTTAGGCCACCACTACAAATGTCTTTCTATAAATTTACTATGTCACACTCACATCGAAATTGACCTACTTTGTAAATTGCTTCTATGTACTGTCGACTGTTTTTGTAGCGTACAGTTTTTTCAATGATGATGAAATATTGCGTTGCAGTTTAATTTATACATACATACTATTTTGAAGCCCATGAACATCTATGATTTCGTAAAAAATTTAACATGAAAACTTTGATTTATCTAAATTCACATTTGAATACTCTATTTCTTCCTATAGAAAAATAGTAAATCCATAGTTCATAGATTTTGTGTAAACAGTTTTCGAATATGCAAAGCTTCAATAACTCCATATAAATTCCCGTATTTTGATTTAATTTTTGAGTATAATTGCTTAACATAATCGTTTCGAATTTAATACTTTAGCTTAATGTTCTTAGATTATATGCTTTATGCTCTTAAATATCACACTGGTTTAAAAAAAAATATTTTTATTGTAAATACGATGATCATCTTCGTATATATTAGGGGAAGAAAGTATTTAAAAAGAAACAATTCCATTATATATTACAAAAGTTTAAATATTAATTTCAATTTTGCATAGTTCCTTTAATCCACATTTTTATATTATGAGAAAAGGTTTTCTACTTCATATGCGTACTAACTTATATGCCAACAATTCCTATTATCTTCAATTTAGTTCTTTTTTTAAGTCTATACATTATTTGAATTTCTTGAAAACTTTTACAATACATATGCGATATAAAATCATTTTGTTTCTGTGAATTTCAGTTTATGAGACCTTCCAAACGAACATATAAAATTCATAGAAGATTTGTCGACATTTTTTTATAAAAATATTCTTATTTCTTCTGAGTTTTATCCTACTTTTACGGGCTATTCCATAAATTATGGTATTTGAAAGTGGCTTCTTACGCTATTAAGTCATCCAATTTTCAAAACCTTGGAAAATTGTCAAAAAATTTGAAAAAGATTACAAGTTTTAATATAAATATGTTTTTGTTGATTTCTATTGAATAATTCAATATATTATATTAAATAATAAGTTTGCACATGTTTCATTATTGAATAACGAAGACATTAAAAAAAATCCAGGTTGGTATATTATCGATGTCTAATCATATATGTCTGATCTAAATTCTTTTAAGGAACCTATATGCAAAAATGTGCATGACCTATTTATTGAATATAAATCATATTATAATGCTAAATGAATAGTTGATTCTTATGTATTTTTATTAGTATGTAAATGAAAAAAAAATATATTATTTGTATGGTTAGCAAATTTGGAAGGTCAACAAATTAAATATGGGATTAAAGGTAAAATTGAGCGAAAAATTAATTCAAAATTCCAATATTTCACATTGTTGTAAGGAGAGAACAGCTGTTCGTTTTTGTTATGCCGGATGAATTTAAGCTTGTATTTTATAAGGTTAGTATTTACCAACACCTACACTTTATGAATTCCGTTCAAATGATCAAATTATGTAAAAGTTAATAAAAAACGAATATATATAAATTTTGTTGTTTTATTTCTCATTTTATCGCCATATTGCATGTTTTATATAGTGAAGGTGATCCCCTCTAATTTGAAAGTTCGTGAAGTATCCAACCAACAGCTGTTGGTTTGTACGTAATTTCCCCTTCTTTTATTTCTTCACTATCAAAAATAATATGGCAACTGGCCTGCGTCGAATCTTTATTAGTATTGGTAAATGTGGAAAGAATGTACCGTATAAACGAATAAAAGACGTAAATAGAAAACAGTGTCTGCGCATAAACTAATATATATCAGCTGGTAGCGGCATACGAATGAGACGGAAAGAAAACAAATATGTTTTTCTCTCAATCAGTTGAAGTCAAGTGAATATTTACGTTATAAACAAAGGCTTTAGTTGTATGTGTACGGCCTTTTAGTTATATACACTATATGGAATTTTTCTTAATATCCCTACATTCACAACTGTTATTCTATTTGAAAATAGTTTTCTTTTTACTCAAAATAATATATATAAAATATATATGATATAAATGTTTAATTATTTTCATGGAATCTGTTTCTTGAATGCTATGTTTATATAGTCAGCTTTCGCAAATTATTTCAATATGGAACTGCAAATGTATACAAAGTCAACAAAGACATTACAGTGTGTTAGTCTGAATTCCTCTGTGTATTTGTATTAACGGTATGAGTACGTACGAATAATTCCACCGTATTGCGACATGCAATCGTTTGTAAATATTGTGAACAGCTCGATTCATAGGAGACAACGAAACGTACATTCAGTTCAAGTTTGTAGTTCGCTCTGTTAGCTCATTTTCGATTATTGCTCTTTGTGGTTGTAAATACCTTTGTATTGAGGTTCAAATACCAGTTGTGAGTATTCAATGTATGGATATAATTGCAGTTTATTGTTATTTACATCGAGTTGAGCCATTTAATAATTTTCAAGCAATTCTTCATTCCTTTGTACTGTGGAGCTATTTAACAAAATTTGAAAAAAAAAAAAAAAAACTTGAATAAAATCATCGCGATCCATTTAATGAAATATGTTTTAAAAATCAGTTCAAAATAATTAATAAAATTAAAAGTTTGAACAATCCAAAAGAAAAGTTACTTATTCGAACAAAGAAAAAACCAATAGAAATACTTTGTGGAGACTGTTTCGATAATTATGGTTTACACACATAAAATTAACAATACAAAGGAAAAACTTTATGATAGTATTTATACATACAATATCATCTGTTATATACACACATACAAAATCGGTTGAAAAATAACGTATGCAACTTAATAGTTCGCAACTATTTTCCCTTCACAAAGAAAAAGTTGAACAATACGTGGATTATTTACATAAAATATTTGATTATGCGAAAGAAAAATAAGGAAAACTGATAAAATATCGATATTATTCAAAGTATCGATGTGTAAAAATCATAAAAAAGATACGTGTTTCGAATCGAGTTGATATTTTTTTCGATTTGTGCAAATTTGAACGTCTTACACTAAATAGTGGCAATTTTCAGACGTCGCCTACATAATCCTATTACCAAAATAAATAAAATTGACAAAATTAAGGATATAAAGATTCAACGTAAAAGCGCCAATTGCATTGGCTCAAAAACAAAGAATAAAATAAAGTGTTCGAAACTATCACCAGCTTCACAACTTTTTTTTAGAATGATGACGAATAAACGTTTGCCTAAAAGATCGATCGTAGGCTCTAGGGTCTGTGCACCAGGCTGTGCACCCGGCCAAAATAAGCTATACTATAGTGGTATAATACAAAAAGTTAAAACTCAATCAGTGGGTATTCGTGACAACAATTGCATCATGTTAACTGCCGATACAAAATATTTGGTCCGATTTGACCTTGGACAGGAAATGGTTGGTACCAACGAGTATTTGGGGTCAGAACTAATTGGCCCGGGTTTTCAAAGTGTAATGAATGTACACCTCTCACCGAGACAGCGTGTTTTTATAACGTATAATGGTCGAGAAAGTGTTGCCGAAGTTTTGAGCCATGATTTTATTAAAGACGAAGTATGTGTTCGTATTCCAGCAAACTGCTATGAGGTGAGAATTTTCAACACATTTTCGAAAGATGAGTTCTTTTTTACGTTAGTTTTAAGTTTGAACAAAACTCCCAAAAAAGAATAATGATATAAAATTCACTTTCTCTATTAAAGTACGAATAAATATTTTTCACTTCATTTTCAAGTTTCGAACCAATAATATTTTCTGTGGCAAGTTTGATTTAAGCGTGGTCGAAGGCCATATTACAGTAAAATTATGTACAACATTTGTTTTTATTGAATTTTTATTCATAAATCAATAATGTGTCAAAAAAAAAAAAAAATTCGTCGTTTACAAAGAGAGAAAAAAAATGATACATTTAATCCAATTTTGGTGGATTTAATATAAATATCAAAGAATTAGATATACCATTTTTGAGATCTATGGGGCATGTTTTTCAAAATAGACCATTTGTTGAATATATTTTATCACTACATCTACTAATTTTTCGAAACCAGAGATGGCGCTAGCCCAAGAATTTGGTGAATGTAATGAAGCAGTTGGTTAAATTGATTCAACAAATATCCTCATTACTACCAAAATTCTAAATCTACCAAAAGTTGAATATACCGAATTTTTTCTCTCTGTGTATTGATTAAAAAGAAATATTTATTTCTATAATAATAAAAAAAAAATCGTATTTCCTACACACTTTGCATTCAAAAATACCCAAAAATTATTAATTTCTAGGGGGGAGACACCAAGAATAAATTCCGAATCCACTATATCAACCCTCCGTTTAGCACTACTTTCTGTTGTCATATACGTAGCGCTTGGGTCTGGCCAGACTCACATACATTTTATATGAAAAGTGACGCAATTTATAATCTGTTACCAGTAAAAATCCCCGGATTTGGAAAAATATTTGCTTCAAGATACTGTATGTGGTAGATGGGTTTTTTTGGGACAAAAAAAAGTTCCCCAGATTGATATGGGACTAGATATGACCCTTGGTAATTCTAAGAACCCCAATATTCAGGTGAAATATGACATAAATATTTCTGAATATTAAAGCAAAAAACTATCAATCGATTTTTCTCTCTTTTCCGATGGGAAAATCGCAAAAATAACGAAATTGCACATCCCCTGCACATGTAATCCCTCGAGTGCTCAACTTCCAGAACACTTTGGACCAGGTCGGATCCACCTACTCCACAAGATTCACTTCCAGCTCTTTTCATCTAACTCTCGCGTATAAATCCAGTTTACTCCATATTATTGTATGAGATGAAGCAAATGATTCAATACCATATGATTTCCCAACTTCTAGAACACTTTGGGCCAGGTCGGATCCATCTGCTCCACATGATTAACTTCCAGCCCATATATATCATTTCACTTTCGCATATAAATGCAGTTTACCTAGATACAACAATACCATAACCTATAATATAATATGAGATGAAGTGAGACATGAGCTGGAAGTGAATCACGAATGATCTTGAAACTTTAAAAAGGTTATTTTTAACACAGAAAAATATAATTCTGAAAGAACTAATCTACTGTGTACTTTACTTTCGAAATTCTATTATATATTAGAAATTTCTCGCTATTTTTTACATTTTTCGATGATTTTGTATCAATTTTTTTGTAGCTCAACCATAATAATTCACGCACAATAACGTCTATTTTAGTAGCTAATAAGTTAATAAGTCGGTATCGGGGTTGTGATAATTATCCCAAACCATTCATATGGTCTTCCATTGATTTAATGAAAATAAAATCATCCTATTGAAGAAGATGAGTTCAAAAACTTCGAATTATGTCTTTTTCAAAAGATTCAAAGACTGTTTGAATTTTCTTTCAAACATTTTTTTTCTTAACACGTAGCAGAACTATTGTGTGTTTATGTTTTGTATCCACAAAAATTTTGTCAATCACAGCAGACGGCAGTTCGCGCAAGTGACGAAACCGCCGTAGTGTGAAAAGTCGACTCGCTTTATAATATATAACAATATATATAAATGTAATTTTCAAATCTATACCTTAAAGAATTTTCTCCGCGATTGATGTATGTTTGGAAAGCCCTTGGTCCATAGACGATGAAAAAACAAACGTGTCAAAATTCAAATTTAAAATCATAAATAGTTCATAATGACGCCAATGACCCTAACAATACCTTGAACTAGGGGCTTTCATGTCAATTTTTTTGTAGTAAAATCTTTACTAGGAATTTCCTCAAACTTTCAGAAACTTAGTTTTTTTAGAATAATGTGGGGGGTGAAGCAACAAATTGCATTTTGTTGACTTGAAATTTATTTTGGATTTCTTCCAAAATGTATATTTGCAGTAACTTATTTACCGTGAAAACTTGTGAATCTTACCAAATCAGACCCAATAGAAGTAACTTCTGGTACTGGTCAAGGTTATCCCATTGGCGCATCTTTGTTCATCATGTTTGTGATTGATCTACCATTCGTCGTGACCAATTCATGCATCCTATCATTCGCTGATGATACCAAAATTTCAAAATGTATAAAATCAGAAGGTGACTGCAATCATCTTCAAAGGGATTTGGATCGTGTAGCAAATTACTATGAACGCAATTTATTAAAACTAAACGTTAACAAAACAAAGCTTATATCATATCATCGTGGATCATTGAAATATGAATATGATTACAACGTAGAAGGCGTGCAAATTGAAAGTGTTGAAGTAATGAAGGACTTGGGAGTATTGCTTGATGTGAAGATGAATTTCAAATCACACATCGAGGATGTTGTAGCTAAGGCAAAATCAAGATTGGCTTGGCTAAATTTCTACAGCAGGGATTTTGTCGACCCTTGGACTATTAAGCGATTCTACTCCACGTTTGTATTACCAATCATAGAATATGGATCAGAATTATGGAATCCACACTATAACAATATGTGCAAGAGAATAGAGTCAATTCAAAAATAATTTTTGCTTTTTGCATTGAGAAGAATGTCCTGGAACAGTTATAGACTGCCGAAATATGAACATAGGCTGCTGTTTCTACAAATGATTACTCTTGAGGAAAGACGCAAGATGGCGCAGATTATCCACGGAGATTTGAAGTCAACTTATATTTCGGACAGCTTGAAATATTATGATTCAGCGCATAATACACGTGCAACACCGTTATTAATTTTACCAAATAGAAGGTCTGATTACACAAAATATGAACCAATAAATTATATGCTTGCTTCATTCAACGATTTTTATACCAAAAAAAATGCCAAATAGTGATACTAATTTAATTGATATAGAAGTAAATTTATCTACAGTAAAACTGAGAATAGAAAATTATTTAAAGCAAAATAGATGGTTTCAAAAATATTTTTACATTAGAGATAAAATTATATAAATTATTTCATATTTATATTACTTTGAATAAACCATCAAGACGAAGGAACGCTGTTCGGTGCAGTTATTATTATTATTTTTTTACCAAAATACATAATCCCAGCAAGTTTAAAGAAATGTCAATGCGTATTAATAAAAAAAATAAAATGTCTTACATACGTAAGATGAACTTTTCCGCACTGTGATCCACAAAATTCATTTATAACTTATCTTTTACTTGAATTTGAACTCACGAAAAACTGAATCTGACATTAGTTTTGCGATACACATAATTTTTGACACACTTTTTATATAAAAATTACTTAAAATGGGAATTTTGGAATGGAATCAATCCTTGCATGACGACGTGAAACTTGACACAGGGTATTTTTTCACGAAAAGCCAACATTCTGGAAGTTTGAAAATATTTCAATACAATTTAGGGGTACTTCCCATACAACATTTTCGTTTTTGGGTGAAAAATCCAAAATTTTGTTCGGAAGGTACCCTTTAATATGTATTGAAATGTCTTCAAACTCTCGGAATATTATTTTTGTGTGATAAAAATAACCTGCGCAAAGTTTCAGGTCATTACGATATCATACAGGCATGGCTTCCATAAAAAAATCCAATTTTTTTGAAATATTTGTATGAAAGGTGTGTCGAAATATATTTGTATCGCAAAACTAATGTCATATTCGGTTTTCTCGTACCCAAAAACCCCCCAATACATATTTTTGGATGTTTAAGAATACATTAAATATCAATTTTGGGGGGAAAATTGAATTTTTCCCATGGATGGCCATGGGCATCACACCAGACATGACACGTTACTCTATCAACCAAAGTCGCTCAAAATCTAGTGGTTTCTATTCCTCGGCACCCCCAATCATCCTGTGAAGTCAGATTTTGAATTACTTTTCTGGTTTGAAAGTTATCGTTTTAACAAATTTTTGCGTACAGCGTACAGCGTACAGGGTACCACGCACATACATTCGGACATCGAAAAAACGCTAGATTCGTGTTCCCTGGCTCCTAAAACACCCAGAAAACATGTTTTTTGAGGGTGTTAATTTTTCGACCGATTCCAATACTTTACCTTACACACTAGGTGTGTGCGGAAAAGTAAAATGCCATATAAATTTTTCGATTTTGGAATTTCTTCAAAATTTTAGAATGCGATTTTTTTTTTAGCCTGTGCAAAGTTTCACCATTTAAATATGGCTCTCATACATAGATGATGACTGTTTTTGTTTTTGATTCTGTAGGGGTTTCCTGGAAAAATCCATGGGATCTTGACGATGTCAACAATTTGTACGAAATGAGGATAACATCGTTTTTTTTTTTTGGAAGTCACTTTTTTGGCGAAAATCCCTAGCAAATCGAAAGAATTTTCCCACTTCAAATTGGCTTGCAAATCCAAAAATGACACAAAAATCGTTTTTTTTTTTTTGGAAGTCACTTTTTGAGGTGAAAATCCCTAGCAAATCGAAAGAATTTTCTCGGCCAAAAAAATTAAGAGCAAAAAAAAAGGTCCTCATTTCCAAAAGTGTTGAGGGTTCCTAAAAATATTTTAGGGGGGGTCATCCGATCCCTAGGAACCCTCGTCATCACCTATGCTCTCATACAAAATCTACATTTTTGGTGATTTTTTCAGATTTTATGTAGTATGAAAAATGTATTAAAAATTGGTT